TGTGCATCTTTTCGGAGCAGCTTGGAAATCGACGGCTCACGGAGTGCACTTCTTTAAGCCCGGCGTGAAGCTCTCAAACTTCTATACGCTCTTAAGGAAGGCAACTTCAGCTTCACAGCTTGGACTTGTGCTTGCATGAGTGGACAACGTCCGAACATCCAATCAACCACATACAAAACCCAATGCACCTTGCATTTGTCTTGCAAAGTTGAGTTTGACTGCTCAATCCGCTCTGGGGAGCTGACCTTCCTGTGAGGCTGTGACGCAAAGGCGAAACTGGCCCAGGCGGTGGTACACTTCAAGAGCGTTTTGAACGTTCCAGGGGGGGGGGGGTGGTAGACTTCGAGCTCAATCTTTGAGGGAGTTTCGGAGAGCTTTGAAAGGCACAGTTGTGGGAGGCGGGGATGTCTGGAGGTCCTCTACATGTCGGAAGGAATGCTTACAGCCGAGGCTAGGCCGCTGGGCCTGATTGGTGTTGTGCTTGATGTCGCTCTCGAGATTGTAACCTGCGCAGCCGCGAACTGCTCAGAGGTTAAACCTCTGGATGTCTCCGAGCCCCCCAGACTCCCCCGCAGGCTCCCCCACAGCGCAGGCTCCCGCGGACTCGCCTTGCATCCAGTTAACCGGAAAAAAGTTGTGCCAGTCACCGGAAGACATCGTCAGCTCCTGGAGAGCTGTTTGAGATGGTTTGAGAGTGCCAGCATGTGCCTGCATGTGCCAGCACTTGCCACTGTACAATCCAGCTGCTGGTAGGCGCGCAGGCTTCCACCGTTCAATGCAGCTGGGCACTATAGGGCACTTGAATTGAATCCTGCGGGGCCCTGGTCGTCAAGCTTCGTGACAGGGGAATTTGCTTGCTTCCCATGATCATCACATTGGCAGGCTCGGAGAGCCTGGAAGTTTTCGCATAAGCGTGGCCTTCGGGTATGATATACAGAGTTGCACCCTGCTATCGTGCCACAGCCTTGGACACGGCTGTCACTGCTGGAATCCTGAGCCCACAAGTCCCGCAAGTCTGGTGTGAGATGCCAAGCGTCCCAAAATCTCCGAACCTCGGCATGAGATGGCAGCATCTGTTGTGCACCGGCTCCTCGCGCCCCTGCCCCATGAAGTCTATGCTTATGCACTTGTTGCCGCAAGATCCCGAGCGTAGGTCTGCTGATATTCTGACGGGACTCAACAATACGCCTATTTAAATGCTAGGATTGGGCCGTATTGGTCCCTTTGAGCCCGTTATACCCCTGCCCACAACTCCACCGCATCCGAGGGGCTGCAGGTAATGGCGATATACTGTGGCAGCCCCAGGATTGGAAATCTCCACATCGCAGGCGTCGTCAACTGGGCGAGCAGCTGTTTCGAAGGCCTTGCCATGCACCTTTGGTTCTTCAGACCTCGCCGGATAACGCTAAGCCGCTAGGACGTTTAACCTTCATTGTGCCCTAAGCCCAAGAAACCCAGACCCTGGCGCGGTGTGCAAAAGACACAATCAAAGAGCAAAGAGAAGCGTGAATAGGATGGAGATCCGAGATGTGCAAATTGAAGAGCCCTCCTTTCCCAAGTCCCCCGCTTTGGCAGTCCAGCTTGGAGATGTTTGTCCAAGTCCCGCAATCAAACCGCCTGGTCCCGTCCGTAGTTGCAAAATGTTGGTAGTCCAGTACCAGGCCTGGCATATGCAGGCTGTGGCTGCCATAACAAACTTGCTTCATGCGTGTTCTCGGTAGGCCAGCATCAGCCTGCTGCTTTGCCAGCGTTACCACTTTCACTAAAACAATGAAGAATTTGAAAGACATTCGAACATGCCCACGTCTGCAGCAACTGTATGACCGTATAAAGTGAGATGCAGTGGCCAGTCAAACTCATGACACCCTGAATCCCTGGTTTCCCTGGTTTCCAAAATCACAGTCAATGACACAGCGCACTCCGCACATTTGCGGCCTGATCTTTTCTGGAGGCGAACAGTAGGCTCATTGAAGAAGTTGTTTCCCGGATGGCGGGCCTCGCGCAGGCTCCCAAGAAAACTCGCCACTCGTTCTCGGGTCACAACTACGGTTGCACACATATCGTTGGAGAGTTGCCCCAAAAAACATGAACTTGGAGCATTCACCTTCACGCTGCCGAGGAATCCAATCAGTGTTTCGAGGACAGCTTCTACGAACATTGCCTGTGTGGACGATGCGCTTCATACCTATGCTGTAGTTTCTCAGGTACCTTGCAGGAATCTCTTGGCGTTTCGGCACTTCTGGGGATTCTCTGGCGGCGACGACCCAAAGCGAAAACTCTTGGTCAATGAAACTGCGAAGGAAACCCAGGCTCGTTCTTAGTATCAGGGGCGCCATCATACCATTTGATCACTACCTTGATGATCACAACGCGCGTTCTTTCCAAGGGTCGGTGTAGAGCACACATTGCCGAAAATGGGTTGCCAAACCTTGGATGCATTCCAAACAGCTACTCGATTCCACCTAGCCATTGGTTCCCACAAACCGCAATTCCATCAGGCTTCAAGCTTGGTCTAGCACGTTTGTATGCAGCATTCCTGGTGGTCAACATTAGAAGGCCAAGCTGCCTGAATAGACCGAGCTTTCGATAGCAATCCCAGAGTGATTGGTCTCGTTATTGAACTTTTGCCAGGCCCCAAGCGATCCTTAGCTGAGCTTCTGGATATGGACTCACTCCTTTAACCTATCAGTATTGGTCGTCGGTGGCAGACAGCCGGTTCGGTTTGTGCTTTCAGTTTCAGCTGTAGCCTGATGCCGGCAAAGGGGTTTTGCTCCAGTCTTGCAGCCAATTCAAGTCAGTAGGACTGCTAACATGTTGACAAGCTTCTTACCGACTTGTTAACAATAACAATTCCGGCGCGGCAATGGGGCACAGTGATGCATGTGTGACACCATCAATGAGGCCGGCGGCCGTCGTCGCTGCTGAAGTATCCGGCAGTTGCGATCTGGCCACGAAAGCTCCTGCGAGGATCTCATGGGATGCTCGACATGCTCCATGCTCATCAAGACACCGCGACGGCTTCTTGACCAAAATTCGAGAACAAAGGTTCACAAGCTCACGGCCAGGTGGCCACAAGGTTGAAATTGGCCACGCCATCCCCAGCACCTACTTGTGCTCTTCCGTGTTCTTGCTGCGCGGACAGTACGGAAAACCAAATCTTGGGAGGAATGCGCCGTGCCAATGGAAAAGTACATCCCATCATGCTGTGGTGCGCCACTTGCACACGAAACACCAATCCACATAGACAAATAATCCCTGAGATAGCGTCTCTGCTGTTCGGCTCCAACATAGCCATTCGCATGTCGTCGGGTCATTGTTGCCGCGCCAGCAAGGCGGTATATTGCATTTCTGAAGGCTATTTTGGGAACAATTTGACACCTTCGCGAATCGCTTTGCCACATTGGCACGCCGTTTCTTTCCGTCCAAGGTTTTGCCATATCGGCGGCTCGCGAACTTGGCAAAGGCTTCGTTGGGCCACTATCTTATTAGCCGGTAGGTTCTTATGAGAAATTACTACCATATTCGTATCATAGTGAACCATAATATGCAATTGTATCATTCCATTTGTATATATTCTCTTACCAATCTGAGGATTGGAACGAGTTCTTCCGACCCTAGCCGCATGGTGGAAGGTCTGCTGCTGCAGGATGGCACACGTCTCTTTGACCTGCAGCATGAGCGCCGCTTCCTCGCACTTCCCCGCGTCGACTGGCAGGCGCAGGTTTAGGGTTTAGGGTTTAGGCTTTAGGCTTTAGGCTTTAGGCTTTAGGCTTTAGGCTTTAGGGTAAACTCTTCAACACTCCTTGGATATCTAATTCAGTTGTGGTCCTTGGAGCTGAAGATGAGGTGTTTGTTCATGTTGTCGCTTGTCGTGGGTCAGGTGACGCTCGAAGCGGCCGACACCAAGACACACAGAAAGACTCATTCGCTCTGGGGTGTTTTTGCTGCTACGCATAGGGTGGTGCTGCTGCATCTCATCTTGTTCTTCACAGGGGTCTGCCACTAGGACGCGCTTGGAACCTTTGCCGGCCTTTTTTTGACACGCTATCTGTGGTGCGGTGCTCCGTTCTTTGCCCCTTTGCCGAAGGCGCCGTTGCTGGCGACCCGGAGCCATCTGACGATGGGAAGGCAGCGCTGCTTGGGCAAAGCACACCGATGCGCTTCGCTGCAGTCGCGCATAATCCCTTAAAACGGTATATATAGGGCCCTGATTCCCTCATTCCCTGCTAACAGTAAGGTGGTGCCAGTGCACGCGCTGCTCTGGGCCTGTGCCGGATGGCAAGTGACTGGTCGCATCTTTGGGATGCAAGCACCCCTTGCCTGCATCGGCCGTAGCAGCCCGGCTCCAATTGGTGAATATCTTGCATATGATGAGCTTCTTGTGCACTGATATGGGTTGTGTAGCAGTCCGAGTCATGTGCCTCAGAACGTTTGCTGACTAACCTAAGGCATTTGGAAAATATTGCGGTGGCATCCGCCTCAAGGGGGATAGCGCACAAGGCACATTCACATGCCGCTTGGCCTAGGGCATTCTCTGGCTCTCCCAAACCCCCCTCCAAGATTATTCTCCACTTCTCAATTTCGAATGAGAACAAACAAGAAACAGAATTGAGGGCGGGAGGAATTTAGATTAATTCTCGACTTCGACTTTTCGAAACAATAGAAACAGGAATCAAGAGGGAATTTGGAGTCTTTCTTTACTCTCCTTTTAAGGAAAGGGGATGCGAATGGGGGCTTCAACTCTCTCTCATTCCTTTCTTCTCTGCTTTCCGAATTATGACTTCAAAACAAGAAACAAGGGGCGTGGAACTTAATTTTTAAGTCTCTGTCCCGCACAATCAAGGAGACGCGCGAAGGGAGAGGGCGCAAACAGGCAGCTCCAAGATAGAGAAGCTAGTCTGGGAACCCTGAACCAGAGGCCAAGGCACCCGGCAGACCTAGCGATTCCGCATTCGCTGTTATCAGTACAGTGCTCGTCATGATAAACCCTGTCCAGAAATGCGCCATTCCATGCACACTGCTCTCACATCACTGTGTCTCATCATCTGCTGCGCAGGTGTGTGCCGGTCTCAGCCTTATGTCCCCTTCAGAGTTGGAACTCAAGCAGGGATGGTGCAAGCTGAAGCCTGTTTAAACATCGATGCTGGCACTGAAAGCGCAGATCCTCGCTAAGGTCGACGTCCCTTGCGTGGCGTACTCCCAACGCGCTGAATTAATCCGTACCTTAGAGAACGGCAGATGGAGGGCAGCGAAAGATGGATGCGATTCCAGAGGGGGGCAATTCGAGGAGTTTGGCTCCGGCTGGCCGGCTTTGCGGATCACTGTCAAGGCTGGCTGCATACGATGCATACCGTGTCTTCAGCATCTCTTTACGGAGCCAAACTGAAACTGCTGCTTCTGTTCGAAGCCGAAGCTTCCCAACATCTTTACAACGGTGCAGCCAAGAGAAGCCTAACCTGCCTACTGTCGAACACCTCCTCCTCCTCCTCCTCCTGCTGAGCACAGAAACCTTCAACAATATCACCGTGTGGCAGCAGTATCGTCTTCGGTGTGCCTCACAAAGGCCTCCAAAGGGCTGTGCAACACGGCAGTGCATGGCACACAAGCAGACTCATGAACTCTCTGCGGGCGCGTGGCACTCTTTTATCACGCTACAAACGCAGCCCTGGGTCTTACATGCTCTCTTGAGTACTGGGCTCCGGACAATCAATCTCGCCAGCTGCATGTGTAATACAAACCAGACCCCACAATCACTGCAGGGATCTGGCACAAAGGACTGATGGATTGAGCCGTATAAGCCCTGAACCCTAAACCCTCCAGGGCCTCGCAGCCCTGACCGCTTGAAAGGCCAGTGGACGAACAATTGAACTTGGGATGCCACGCGCCACACCTTGGGATGTTGTGTACATCAAGTGTGCATCAAAACAAATCTTTCTCTGGAGTCCACTGACTTGAACGATTTCGAAAACCTTGCTGAAGCCGCTCTGAACTGAAGATAAATCCTAGCACAGGAGCCTGTTCTGAACCAGCCTGTCATCTAAGCGAGTTCCGGTGATGTAGTCTTTGAAGTCTGCCTCCCAACGCTTCAGTTCAAATCCTGAATCTCGCCTTCGCCTTCCCGCAGCCTTGCTAGACCAAATGTCTTTGTTGCGCTTCTGTAAGTTCGAGCTAAGTAGAGAAAAAGCAACCATGGCCCCGGCCCGCCTCGTCGTCCCTCGGCGACCTCGTGAGGAATTCAAGGCCAAACCCCCCCAGTGGCTCCGCCTCCCACCACTCTTCGTCGTCTTCTTTGTCCGTAAAGGGCACAGACGTTGTATAACTGACGCACATTCTCATCACCTCAGCTTTGTCGTACCTGGGCTACGCGACATGGATCTCACACCACAACAAACATTCCACATATCATGCATGGCTGTAGTTGAATCACTAAATATAGGTTGGATGCACCGGCCCGACAACGACATTCTTCGTCATGAGGCGTTTCCAGTTCGCTGCGCCGTCTGTCTGCTCACCCTGCCACACACGCCGACACGCTCTATCGCTCGCCTAGGTGCAAAATCTTGCGCTCTCCGCCACACTCCTACAGGATTGCAAGCTCCTCTACGGAAACGAAACTCAGCGAACATTTCCAAACATTCAGGGGGGGGGAACTTGGCAATTGGGTCTCCTGTGCAAATTGAAGCTCGACGTCCAGGTCGACGCTGCCCAAATATGCAGTAACCCTCGGCTTCTCGACTCAGTCACGAAGCAGGCGGCCCCCAAGCTTCCAAACCCAGGGTTGGGGAGTTTCGGTTCGCAAGCGTTCGAAACCGTTCGAGAGCGTCCACGGTGGCACGAACCGAGCACGAATCGAGATGTACTTGGGGGAGAGCAGCGTTTTGGTACGTTTTCGGTCGTAGCAGAAGTGCAGACAAGTCACGAATATGAAGATTTTGAGGGGTTTTAGAGGTGCATCAGCCTCGCGTGTCGTCACTTTTGGACTATGGTTGTTCAAAAAGTGCAGCAGTTACGAGAATGAGGCAAAGGTTGCGCCATCCTCGTAACTGTAGTCGGCTTCTAAGCTTGGTTTGTCTCAACTGTACAGACAATTACAAGGATGGCGCACCTGCGTCACTTTCTAAGCTTCGCATCTCAAAAGTGAGGACACTCACGAGGATGAGTCAGCATGAGACCTGTGGGTGGCGCCGTCCCCGTGACTGCCGTCGCTTCTTAAGCTTCGTTTGTTGTTCGTGTCTCAAAAGTGCAGCCGGTTACGAGAATGAGGCATACCTAGACCGCGGTAGTAGCCTGTTATTAACAGCTGCTTCTTGCGGTGCCAGAATTTTCCAGGGGTAGTAGCCGATTATTAACAGTTGCTTCTTGCGGTGCCAGAATTTTCCAGGTAGTCAGGAAATTTGCGGCACTGTGCAAAAGTTGCTGCTTTTGCATGCATAAAATGCCATAAAAAAAGGGTAGAGTGCCGTAAAATTGTGTGCTGTTTCTGTCAGTGCCGTAAATCTGCAGAAAAAAACAACTTTCCGCAGTGCCAGAAATAAACGTACACTAAGTTTTCCAGGTATGGCATGTGGGGCGCGCCATCCATCCTCGTAACTGTCGTCACTGTTTAAGCTTCATTTGCTGTTCACATCTCAAACATGCAAACAGTCACGAGGAATACTCGTAGCTGTCGAGTGAGTGAGTCAAGTCATGCGCATTTGTAGTCTTTTTTCCTCTGGGATTTCGGGCCGAGTAAGGATGAGCAGTGAGAGACCTGTCTCACTACCTTCCTCGTCCCCGTAGAATACCAAGAGTTTTGGCCCGTGGGTGGGTCCGAACTTTTGTGTTCTGCGCCCACGCGGCGGGCTTTGCTTGGCCGCAGGGACGTTAGACGCACTCACTCACTCACATCTCAAAAGTGCAAACCGTCACGAGGAATCCTCGTAGCTGTCGTCACTTTTTAAGCTTGATTTGTTGTTCACGGCTCCTATGGTGACCTACAAAGTGTTTTACTATTTGCGGCTGTTTTGGAGAGAGAGAGAGAGAGAGAGAGAGAGAGAGAGAGAGAGAGAGAGAGAGAGAGAGAGAGAGAGAGAGAGAGAGAGAGAGAGAGAGAGGGAGAGAGAGAAGAGAGAGAGGAAGAGGCAGAGGCGGCTGAGAGGCATTGCAGAGCAGAGGCAGAGGCAGAGGCAAGGCAGAGGAGAGGAGAGCGAGGCAGAGCAGAGGCAGAGGCAGGCAGAGGCAGAGGCAGAGGCGAGGCAGAGCGAGGCAGAGGCCGAGGCAGAGCAGAGGCAGAGGCAGAGGCAGAGGCAGATGGCAGAGGCAGGGCAGAGGCAGAGAGGCAGAGCAGAGAGGCAGAGGCAGGGCAGAGAGGCAGAGGCAGAGAGAAGAGCGAGCGATGCAGCCAGAGAGCAGGAGATGCAAGAGGCAGAGAGGCAGAGGCCGAGGCGAAAAGAGGCGAGGCAGAGCAGAGGCAGAGGCATGCATGCAGAGGCCCGACAGCAGGCCAGAGCAGAGGCGAGGCAGAGGCCAGGCAGAGAGGGCAGAGGCAGAGACGGAGACAGGCAGAGGCAGAGGCAGAGGCAGAGGCAGAGGCAGAGGGAGAGAGGCAGAGGCAGAGGCAGAGGCAGAGGCAGAGGCAGAGGCAGAGGCAGAGGCAGAGGCAGAGGCAGAGGCAGAGGCAGAGGCAGAGGCAGAGGCAGAGGCAGAGGCAGGCAGAGGCAGAGGCAGAGGCAGAGGCAGAGGCAGAGGCAGAGGCAGAGGCAGAGGCAGGGCAGAGGCAGAGGCAGAGGCAGAGGCAGAGGCAGAGGCAGAGGCAGAGGCAGAGGCAGAGGCAGAGGCAGAGGCAGAGGCAGAGGCAGAGGCAGAGGCAGAGGCAGAGGCAGAGGCAGAGGCAGAGGCAGAGGCAGAGGCAGAGGCAGAGGCAGAGGTAGAGGTAGAGGTAGAGGTAGGGTAGAGGTAGAGGTAGAGGTAGAGGTAGAGTAGAGGTAGAGGTAGAGGTAGAGGTAGAGGTAGAGGTAGAGGTAGAGGTAGAGGTAGAGGCAATGGCTCAAGATCTCGGCTCAACTGGTAGCTGTCTGAACTGGGTTCAAGGCCGAACCGGAACAAGGCCCCCTTTCAATCCCAGCTGTAGCACAGGGCAAAATTACCAGACACAACATGCTCACAGTGTACTGGTGTGACGCCTGGGGATGACCAGGCCGGGCAAGACAGGGCTGTCACATAGGTAGGATAGCCTACTTGAAGTTTCACCCAACCGCCAAAGGCAGCGCTCCGTACGCTTCGAGACAAAAAAATAGAGGTAGAGGTAGAGGCAGAGGGAGCGAGAGAGAAAGACAAACAGAGAAAGAGTTGGAGAGCGAGCGAGAAAGAGAACGCAAGAAAGCAAGAAAGAAACAAAGACAAACAGAAAGAAAGAAAGACAGAAAGAAGGAAAACAAGAAAGAAGGAACGAAGAGGAAAGGAAAGGAAAGGAAAGGAAGGGAGAGGAAGGGAGAGGAAAGGAGAGGAAAGGAAAGGAGAGGAAAGGAAAAAGGAAATGAGAGGAAAAAAGAAGAATGTAGAGGAAAGGATAGGAAAGGAAAGAAAAGAAGGGGAAAGCAAGGGAAAGGAGGGGAAAGGAGAGGAAAGGAGAGAAAAGGAAAGGAAAGGAAAGGAAAAGAGAGGAAAGGAAAGGAAAGGAGAGGAAAGGAAAGGAAAGGAGAGGAAAGGAGAGGAAAGGAGAGGAAAGGAGAGGAAAGGAGAGAAAAGGAAAGGAAAGGAAAGGAAAAGAGAGGAAAGGAAAAGGAAATTTCGGAAAGGAGCGGAAAGGAAAGGAAAGGAGAGGAAAGGAGAGGAAAGGAGAGGAAAGGAGAGGAAAGGAAAGGAAAGGAGAGGAAAGGAGATCAAAGGAGAGGAAAGGAGAGGAAAGAAAGGAAAGAAAAGGAAGGGAAAGGACAAGGAAAAGGAAAGGGAGAAAGAAATGGAAAAGGAAAAAGGACAAGAACGAAAAGAAAAGAAAGAAAAGAACAAAAGAACGACAAGAACGAGAAGAGCGACAAGAAAGAAAAGAAAATAAAGGCAAGAAAGGAAAGAAAGAAAGAAAAGAAATACAATAAAAGAAAGAACAGAAAGAAAAAAAGAAAAGACATAAAATAAATAAAAGAAAGAAAAAAGGAAAAACAAAAGACATGAAAGAAATAAAAGAAATAAAAGAAATAAAAAAGAAAAGAAAGAAAAGAAATAACATCAGAAGAGAAGAAAGAACAGAAAGAACAGAAAGAAAAGAAAGAAAACAATGACAAGAAAGAACAGAAAGAAAAGAAAGAAAAGAAAGAATAGAAAGACTAGAAAGAAAATAATGACAAGAAAGACCAGAAAGAACAGAAAGAACAGAAAGAACAGAAAGAACAGAAAGAAACGAAAGAAACGAAAGAATATAGAAAGAAAATAATGACAAGAAAGAACAGAAAGAACAGAAAGAACAGAAAGAACAGAAAGAACAGAAAGAACAGAAAGAACAGAAAGAAAAGAAAAGAAAGAAACGAAAGCAAAGAAAGAAAAGAAAGAAAAGAAAGAAAAGAAAGAAAAGAAAGAAAAGAAAGAAAAGAAAGAAAAGAAAGAAAAGAAAGAAAAGAAAGAAAAGAAGGAACAGAAAGAAAAGAAAGAAAAGAAAGAACAGAAAGACAAAAACAAAGAAACAGAAACGAATAAAATAAAGAAAATAAGAAGCATAAATAAAAGAAAAAAGAAAGAATAAACAGAAAAGAAAAGAAAGACAAGAAAGAAAAGAACGACAAGAAAAGAACGGAAACGAAAGAAACAAAAGAAAGAAAAGGCACGAAAGAACCGAAAGAAACGCAAGAACATAATGAGCAGAAAGAAAAGAAAAGAAAATGAAGACAAGGAAGAACAGGAAGAACAGGAAGAAAATGAAGAACAGGAAGAAAAGGAAGAAAAGGAAGAACCAAGAGTACAAACATGAAAAGAAAGAAAAGCAAGAACATAAAGAAAGCCAATAAAAGAAATAAACGAAAGACAAGAAGGACAAGAAAGCAAAGAAAGAACAGACTAAACGAGAGACAAGACAGCAACGAAATAAAATAAAATAAAGGAAATACAGAAATAATACAGACAAATTTATAAAGAAATACATAAAGAAACACAGAACAAAAAACAAATACCGAAATAAAGAAATAACTTAAATAACGATAGAAAGAATTTCGATAACACAAATAAAGATACAAGAAAGAAAGAACGAAATAAAGAAGAGAAAGAAGGAAACAAAGAACGACCAAAAAGAACGAAGAAAAAGAAAGCAACAAAGAACGAAATAAATAATCGATAAATCAAGAAAGAAAACAAGAGATAATGGGGGAGAGAGAGAGAGAGAAGGATTGAGAAAGACAAAGCAACAATGAGAGAGAGAGAGAGGGAGTGATGAGAGAGAGCGAGAGAAGAGATGAAGAGAGCCTGGAGAGAGGAGAGAGACAGAGAGAGAAAGAGAGAGAAAGAGCGAGAGACGGAGAGCGAGAGAAAAAGAGAGTGTCTCTCAGAGAGAGCGAGAATGAGAGAGAAAAAGCGAAAAGGAGACGGATAAACACACTTCAGTTCGAATCTCGTGTAGTGCACGGCGTCTCTTTTGGTTGCCGCGTGCGTAATACGTATCCCCTGAGTCTGGCCGCATGCAACGAACTCATCCAATGGCCCAAAGCGCAGGAATCCACGCCCACGCTCTCAGCCCCAAAAAATGCACGGGACCTATAGGCGAGAGGGCGATTCGACACCCGTGCAGGAAGCCAAATGCATGTAAATTGTCAATGGTACTTTAATGCTTCAAGGCCCCGAGAAACATGCCCCAAAGCCCAGTGGAAAAAGTACGCCTTTCGTACAAAATAACGTCCGTGTATCGCACGCGTTTCGCGCGAGCAACTCAATCTAACACCCTTTTAGTCTTGACGTAAGATCCGCCAGTGTTGACACACTGTTTAGGGGAAATGGAACCAAAAAACACAGAAAAACTACCAACGAAACGCGCCCTCCTTTGGCTTTGGCTGACACGCATCAAGGTCGTGCAAAGGAAGTCACGGCGATTTGCTGAACGTTTGCTGGACTCCTGCGTCGCAGGTCCTGCGTGTGGGTGGTGGAAGGACCACGTTCATGGGATGCCTCGGCCCTCTCTGTTTCCACCACACGAGGCAGCGAAATCCCTCGGGACGTGAAATGGCATCCGTCTTCCGCTCTCGGCCATATGAAAGATTGGCTCCGAAGATGGGCATACCCGGGGGCTGAATCAGAAAACGATGAACAAAGGCAAAGCTTCAGCGGGCTGAATCAGAATAAGGCACCCAGCGCATTCGGAGCCGGGCTGAGTCAGAAAACGCAGAATCGAAAACGCCACAAGCTGTTCAGGAAGCTTGCCGAACCGGGCCTACCCGCACAACCAAGCCGGCTTTCTCTCGATCCGGACCCGCAACGCACAGTGAGTGGAACAGCAAGGAACCGCACCTCCAGCTCCTTCCTTTGCATCTGCAGCGCTCCATGTGCTCACATCAAGGGGGACAATGAGACACAGGCGCAGTCAAGAGCACATGAAGCGGGGCAACAGCAGAAAAGGACTCCAGAAAACCCGGCCCCGGCCGAGGCCACCCGTGCGAGGACAATGGGCGGCAAGCGGAGGTAAGGAGTACATGGGCGCGGCCAAATCATCCGGCTGGTCGTTAGGCGTATAGCCAAGCAACCGGGTGCTCACGTGCGGCATATGAGGGTCTTTTTGGATGAAATGGCACACCCTAAGCCCTAAGCAAACAGACTTGAGCCAATCCGGCTTGCACATCAGATATTGGACCAAACCGAATTCGAGTACCTCAATGAGGAGCCGAGATTCTCTGTATGGTCGCTGAAGAGATCGCGAAGATCGACCTTTGGAAGGTTGCACCCTTTGTTGGCAAGGCTGGCAAGCAACAAAGACGCCAATGGACAGTACCATATCATCTTCAGGGCCTCATACACACCAACAGCTGTGAAGCGCAGTACTGGTCAATTATGGTCACTTGCATGGCCTGTAGCACTGAGGACTGAGGGTCGGCACACGGGAGTTGCAGCTCACAACACACTTCACTACCACACCCCCTACCAATGTGGCCTCGCTGACTGCTCCGAAGCCATTGCAATCGATGATTGAGGGAGCGAAGACTGGGAAGGCCTGGCGTGGCTCGTGATATGAGGCGCAGCTGCTTGCGTCCTATAGCACGCAGCATGGGCTACCCTATGCTGCTCTCTAGGCCCTGGAAAGTCACAAACTACAGAGTCTGGCCTTGAGAAGGTGCTGGGTATGGAGATTCCAGAGCAAGTTGCCCATGTCACTCATGGGGATTTGCTGCGATTCCCGGGCAGCGCATTCTCTGTGAACCTGGAGTTTAAGGTGAAAGGGAGCAAGGCCAAGTGCAAGAGGCAGCTTATCGGACCCAGCGGCCATGCCCCCTATGCCTCTGGGCAGCTGGGAAGGGGCTGTCTCCAGCGAGATCCTGCTGCATGCACTGGTTGTTGCCCTCGAGCAGCTTCCTCGATGCGAAAAACAAGGGGCTAAAAGGCAACTGATATTCAACCGAAACAGGGTTCCTGTTAAGCACGCATGGAACTTGTTCGAGCTTCACTTTGCGGCTGTCAGAAAAGGGCGTGCTGCCGAGCTCGACGAGCACGTTGGTCGGACAAAGGTCCTAGCGAAAGCGAACTCAGCATCATCGCAGGCCCGTATGTCGCTGCAATGTGCGGCCGGTTGAGTTTATGATTAGTCATGCTTAAGCATTGCAGCATATTGCATCCATGGCGAGGATGGTTCCCTAATGTTCGAGGCGCATATTCAGCTACTTTTTTTTCTCAGCACTTTGACTTCAGGGGACGGTGCGTCGGAGTGTGTCGAGTGCGCAGCGGTGCCGTAGTGTTGGCACTCCCGCCCCTCCCCTAAACCGTAGAAAAAAAGGTCAATTTGGAACACAGGAAAGAATCAATTTGGAACACAGGAAAGAGTCAATTTGGAACACAGGAAAGCGTCATTTTGGAACACAATGAGACAAGAGAATGAACAGCCCAGAAGACGGAATCACGCACCGCGTGCAGGTTTTGGCACGTTTACGCGCCTGCATGCCTTCCAAAATGACACCTTTTTCTGTGTGTCACTTCTGGCAGGTGATACGTTAAATTCGGGCGCGTTCCAAAATGACACTTGTTGCGTTCGCACGTTCCAAAATGACACCGTCTTGGGCGGGCGTTCGCACCTTGAGAAAGGTGCTTCTTCCTGTGTGTCACCTCATCGTAGACAAGAGAAAAGCCTGCGCGAATCATTTGCAAACAGAATGCTCCGGTCATGAATTTCAACAAGACTCATGCGCTTTGAAGCAAGGGGAGTCGGGGGGAGGGGGGGCGCAGCCCCCATCGTAGACAAGAAAGATGTCTGCGGCATCATTTGCAAAATGCTACTGGCACGGCACCACAATTTAGAAGAGCGGGGTTGGGGGGGGGAGCAGCCCCCCATTTGCAAACACAATGCTCCATGGTGGGTTTGGAAAAAGGTGCATGTTCGAAGCAAGCTTGCACGGGGCCCAAAACTCCCTCCATTTGCAAAAACAATGCTCGCATGATGGGTTTCAAAAAGGTTCATATTCGAAGCAAACTCGCGGGGGGGTTGGTGTGGGAGGGGCTACCCCCCAATTTGCAAACACAATGCTCGCATGATGCAGAAAGGGTTACCAAACCTCAGCGCAGCCCCTCGCCTCATTTGCAAACACAATGCTTGCATGATTGGCTTCAAAACTTCGTATGCTTTGAAGCAAGCTTGCACGGCGACCAAACTTAAAAGGGGGGGGGGGTGGCTGGAGTTGTGGCGGGGGCACAGAAAGCTCAGCGGTGGGGTTGGGGGGGTGCGCAGCCCCCCCTCATTTCACAATGCTCGCACATGATGGGTTTCAAGACTTCATACACTTTGACGCAAGCTTGCACGGCGGCAAAAAAACTTAACAAAGCGGAGGGTTGCGGGGAGGCTGGAGTTGGGGGGGGCACAAAAACAAAGCAGGGGGGTTGAGAGGGGTGCAGCCCCCCTCATTTGCAAACACAATTCTCGCATCATGGGTTCCCAAAATTCATACACTTCAAGCAAGCTTGCGCGGCGGCTGAACTTTAAAACGCGGCGTGGGGGGGGGGCTGAAGTTGGGGCTGGTGTGGTTGGGGGGGCGCAGCCCCCCTCACTTGTGCAAACAACACAATGCTCGCATGATGGGTTCAATGAGGTTCATACGCGTTGAAGCAAGCTTGCACGGCGACCAAACTCACAAAAGCGGGGAAGGGCTGGAGTTGGGGGGGGGCACTGAAAGCAACCCCCCCATTTGCAAACGCAATTCTCGATGATGGGTTTCAAACTTCGTACGCTTTTAAGCAAGCTTGCGCGACGGCCAAACTGAACGGGGAGGGGGGGGGGGGGGGGGGGGGGGGGGGGGGGGGGGGGGGGGGGGGGGGGGGGGTCAGGGGGGGGGCGGGGGGGGCGGCGGGGGGGGCGGGGCGCAGGGTGGGGCGGGGCTGGAGGGTGGGCTGGAAGCAGGAGTGGGGGGAGAGACAACCCCACCCATTTGCAAAGAAGGATCGTGATGTTGACGTGCGGGGGTCAGGAGGAACGTCTGCTCCCCTCTCTTGCCCCCACCCAACCTGCCCGGCACACGTGGTGTTATTCAACGTCGCGCGCACTGGGCCTGCAACCGCAAACCCGGCATCTCTTTGTTGATGTTGGTTGTTCTAGCTGCCGACCTATAACGCGGTTTTCTTCATCCGCCCCCTTTACAAAAACAGCGGTTCTTCTGGCCGCCTTAGAAAACCCCCAGCGGTTGTTCAAGCCGCCGCCTTAGAACCAGCGGTTGTTCTACCCGGTGCCGTCGTAGCAAAACCATGAAAGACCACTGTAGAGCAGTTCCTGTGGCGATAGAACAGCCAGCTTAGGAAAACCGCCAACTTTGAAAAACCGCTGGTTTTTCTGCCTGCCGCCGTAGGCAACCCAGCGGTTGTGCTACCCGGCGCCGTAGTACAACCACAGAGGTTGTTCTAGCCGCCACCTTAGAACCACAGCGGTTTTTCTACCAGCCGCCTTAGAACAACCAGCGGGTAGAAAAAACCGCTTTAGAAAAACCACCGGTTTTCCAACAAAAAACCGAAGCCTTCGAAAAACAAGAACCACCGGTGTTTCCGGCGCGGTTCGAAAAACCACCTTTGAAAAACCGCCGCAAAAAGATCACCAGACCTCGGCAAAACCATTGCAAGGTGCAGGTTTTAACGTCACCCGCGTTCCAAAATGACACTTTCCAGCGTGCAAAAAAGACACTTTCCCGCGTTCCAAATTGACACTTTCCCGCGTTCCAAATTTGACCCCGTGCACAATCTGTGCACCTGTGAAATCCAGGACACCACAGTCCTCTGTTGCGGTCGGCGCCAGAGTGCCCTCAGTCTCAGTGAAACGCTCGCCAAGCTCCAGGCAATGGGCCTGGGGAACACAGGAACTCTGAGCAAGCTGTGCCCCAGTGCCGCACACACCAGGGTAGGACAGCGCAAGAGACTGCGACTGGTAAGCAAAGAAATGAAGCATGCACTCCGAAGGTTGGCAAGCTTGAAAAGGGGGAGAAATAGTTCGGCTATCCCTCCGAAACTACAAACACCAAACGACGAACAAGCACGCCAGCCTGTCCTTGGTCGTGGGCTCCGTGAAGAGTGCCAGCTGCAGCCGGCTCAAAAACCATGCTTCCTGCAAGTTCAGGTCGTATACCTCGGCTCAGTGATGTAGGTTTGGCTCTTGGACGCTGGCATAATCCTCTCCTTCTCTCCTGGTCCCTTTTCACAGTGTTTTCTTCTGCTCCGACGGGTGGGCAGGCGGCGGAGAAAGGCGGAGAAACGCCCACTGCTCTCCTGATAGAACTTAGGCGTCTCTTTCCCTCCTTTTCCTTCGGGGGGGGGGCAAGGAACTTGAGGGTCGCCCCATGTCGCCCCTCTCTCCTGTCCACCGCTGCCTTTCTTTATGTCGTATATGCAGCCACCTGACTTGCTTATATGCAGGAGTTCCGATCTGCACGCACTGGTGGCATCTGAACTTGCCGAGCCCGACCTCGTCGTGTGAGTTGAACCTCGGCTCTGCTGCAGCTCTGATCAGACATGTGGAGTTACGCGATCACCACCTCCGGAAAGTCACCATCAAGAAGCCACTGTCCATTGACGCAGGAGAGGCTGTCGACGGAAGCAGCTGAGTCGTCGTAGAAGCCCCTGTAGCGTTCATCCCAGCAAGACAGGCTGAGCATTGTGCCGTGGGCAAACGTCTCAGGCAGCCTTTGCTGGGCAAGCTTCCAATAATTGCCTTTGTGACTGATCATCACAACAAGCTCATCTCAAATCGCTCACCTGACGTCTATAGGCGGCCTAGTAGCAATGTCTTGTGCTGCCACGCATGGTTCGTCGGATCCCGATAGGTTGGCCTGCAACGACACAATGCACCACAGCAGTGACTGCAGCTCGCCCAATCCTCGGATCTGATGCTATTCGGCTATGTGATGCGCACCAAAGCCCCCCGCAGAACATCATTCTCACACACCCCCAGCGCCTTGCACAGAACTGAGCCCCTCCACCTGTCAGGGGGCAAGCGCTGCTCTGCGGGATTCATGGGTCGGTCTTGCTCTGCGGCATTCTCTGCCGCATTCTTCAGGCGTGAGGCCTCCAGAAGTACTTTGTCAGAAGTACTTTGTCGGATTCTTTGCAGGGCTCCCCAACACACGCTCCACATGAGTTGTGACAACGCACAAAGCCTTGGGAGGCCTGTGCACTCTGCTGCATTACTGGGGAATCGACGTTTTCGCGGTCCATTTCAGGGTGGCTTAGGGGTTGTCAGGCCCTGCCCATTGGCTTCGTAAGCCCCATGTTCTTTCTTTTGCGGCTTGCCTCCCCCAGCTCAACCTCCAGGGTTGACGCCTTGCCGCTCCTACCCTTCTAATGGTTTAAGTTTAAGGCCTTAGAGTTTAGCCAGAAAGGCTTCTCTGGCGCACTTTGCCGGCGCCGCCGTCCCACTTAAACAAAGGGCTGGGCCGACCGTCCTGCCAAGCAGGAATCAATACCGTGCGTCGTTGTCACTGCCTGCCCCACATCTTGTACGACTTCGCAAGCCGTCCCCAAGGCTAAAGGACTCAACGCCTTGATCATCCTCGATCGCATCCACCATGCACATGCTTCTGCTGCTAGTATTCCAAACGTATACAACAGATCCACACAGCAGCCTCCCAGGATGAGGAAGACGTCACACAGTACGTGGAGATCCCAGTATGCGAAGGGCTTTGAACCTGAGCGGCCGGCTTCCTGGAAAGGTTTCAAGCACACTTCGGGGACTCTATCCACCTCTCCAGACTCGCCCATGTGCAGAGTCCTTCATGTGATTGCTGAGCTGTTGTTGTGGCACCCGCCATCACCCCCCGCCCCTCAAGAACTCCTTCAATTGTCCACGAAAGAACAACTTCAAAACATACCGGTGGCTTGGCTTTGGGGTTCAACGTGCGCTCGATCCGTATCGAAGGTCCAACCGTATCGAAGGCCCAACGCCCCTGATCAGATTTCTTTCATCTTGTTTTTCTGCATGTTATTCCGGTCATTGTAGTCCTCTGAGCAGCTCATTGCAGAGGTCAGGTAGGCACGACGTGCCGTCATGCTGAAACACCCGCCAGGGTCCGCCACGTGGCAGCGCTGCTCCTTGGCAGCTTAGTCTCAGCGCCACTCATTTTGCAGATCACAGACACATGGGGTACAAAAGAAGATGTGCAATTGTCAAAGTGTTGGCAAACCTGGCCTGGGGTGGACTGCACTTCCTGACTACTGCAGCCAAACCTTAAACCCACAGAGCATCCTGACGACCATGCTTCCACGATTCCAAACGACCCCCATGCTGTGGGCTCAGTATCGTGAGGGACCTTGAACACTGAGCCTTGATCCCAGCCAGGGACTCAAGAGACTCAAGCACCTCAAATTTGCACAGTCGCCGAGGAGACTGCAAAAAGGTCGCCCAACACCCCAGGCTCCTGGCCGCTTCGTCAAGGTCCGAAGCGGGGTTTAGTGATGCGTTTGGGTCTGAGGGCAAGGGCTACTCTTGCCCTGAGTCTCGTATTCGCTTCTCACGAGGCCCAAGCTCCTGCACCAGGTGTGTGCAGCCCGAGTAGATCCTGCAGCAGCGCAGCAGCACGGGAACCACAAGAGAAACAAAGGCAAACGTCTCGAAACCTCGAAGTCCCGATATCTCCGTTTCCCAATTCCCCACCTGCAGATCAGCGCTTCGGACTGCTCGCCCTGAAAGTAGAAAACGCAGGACGATGTTGCCTTCGGTGAAGCATAGCAACTGCTTCGCCGCTTGGCCTCTCCCCATGGGCAGGATGATTGCCCAAGTAACACCGTATGCCGGGCTCCGTGCCTTACATCGAGCTTCACAGTCGGTTCGCCCAACGGCCTCACACATGTTCTGTAAACTAGTGCCTGTGACTTTCCGCAATGAGAAGGGATGTCTTGTTTCTCACGAGATCTGGTAGACACAGAGTTCGAGGCACTGCTATACCTGGCAGCAGCTACCAGTAGCTATCCCTACATCCCAGCCGCGTGACATGCCTTCGCTGGAGCCATGGTTCGTGCAGCCCGGACTTCGACCCAATCCACCAAGGCCGAACCTGGAATCCCTGCAATGCAACTCCTTTTGAAACCTTCCCCCTGACACTGCCCTGGCACCCTCCCTGGAGCCCCTTGGACTGCCTGCCACCACCCTGAAACTCTGAAGCGACGTGGGTTGGGCCCCACCTTCTCTTCACCCCCCTTGGAGTGGCATAAGTTAAACAGGACCTACAGTTTTTTTTTCGAATTTTTATCTCACAACAACCAACTATGGAATCCATGGACTGCGGCACCATCCGGCACTGCACAAAACCTCATGCAAAAACACGCCGCTCTACCGTGGGGCCTGCCTTGGAAACCCCCAACACCCTGACCAGGGAATCCTTGCCCCTGACCCGTCGCCTGCACCAAGCGACATATGTTTTTGGCCTTCCTTCGTCTGTGGGTTTTATTAAGGCCGCCCGCGCAAGCGTTTACAGTTTACAATTACTGCCTGCGCATTTCCACTAACCTGGACCACCAGAGATGAAAAGCTCAGGCCTCCTTCTCAGTCTCGATATGTACGCTGATGAGCTGAGCCGGAGGGCAGAGCATTTGTCCGGAGGCCAAGTGGAATGGCGGCCTTCTCTGCAGATCACCCACGTGAGGTTGCGTCAGAAAAATGTTCTCAAAGGATGGCGCTCGTGATCCTCTGCAGTAGTGTCCTTGACAACGTGCTGCGGCCCATTGTGATCCTCTGCAATTCCTTTACTTATAGCAAGTACTCAGACCACGCGGCGGGACGAAGATATTTCCACTCTCTGGTGGGATGGACTGCACAGCCGCCGCGATCACCGGCTTCTGCATGCCCTCAGATCTCACTGATTCGCCATGATTCACTCTTAAGACTTAAGTGGTCGCTTGGCACTAGTCACCAGTCTCTTTCGAGGTGGGCCCTTAAGAAGAGTTCAGTACTCGACTCTTGAGGGTGAACGGCCCGGGATGCACCACTCTCCAAGCCCCTCATAGCCCGACCACCCCCCAAACCGCTTCGTCGTGATCCCTCAAAATTGGGTACCACGTGCATAGAAGGACTAGAGGAAAAGCACAGCTTATCCCTTTTGGACCTGCAACCGAAGGAGCCGCCCTCGACGAGAAGTGTGTGTTCGAATCTTAGGAATCGGTGGTCCAAGATCCCAGGTGTGGAGCCATGTGGAGCCCCTACCTGCCTGACCCCCATCCTTCGCTTGCAAGATGCACGCGTCCGCGTTCAGACAATGGCCGGTGATGGCCAGCAAATCGATGCAAAACCCGTGGACAACGAATGAGCTGCAGCGAGGTTGTGACATCAGGCAGCTGCAGCTTTGACATGCAGAACGACTTTCAACCGATATGGGTGGGGCAATATCATGTGACACGAAACCTTGACGGAACCGTTCTGAGAACTTGCAGTTGTCGCCAAGTGTCCCAAGCGGAAGGAGCGCACTCCTCAGATTAGCAATGTGCCCATATCCAAAACTGTAAACGACAATGCCCCAAGCACTGGAAAGGCTTGAACTGAACGCCTGCTTAAGGCGCAAGCTATAAACTAGTGCTCACCATCGTGGAAGGGATGGTTACTGCGTCGTTGCGAGAGCTCTCCTTCTCTCCATTCGCGCTTGCACTTGCAACAACAAACTCATCCATGCATCACAAGGGTGGAGGGTGTAGTCGGCCGGGGGGTCGGTGAACGGGTTGTCCACGATGAAGGGGCTTCGGCCTGCCAGGGTCGTCTGCGGCAAGCTACAACTAGGGCGTCACCAGTGCATCATCAGGGATTTACGCCCTCTGTGCATGAACTTCGGAGGCTTAGCGAACTTCAGCCTTTCTGGGGCCTTGAGACTCCTCTTGCTCTTCGGCTTCCTCGGCTGCCGCGGTCAAGTTTGCAGGCACAGCGCACGGAGCGACGGCGAAGCTGACTTTGGCCTGGGCGAGAGCTTCTCAGCTTGCCGCGTGGCGACTTTGACTTTGGTGACTACGGGCCCGAAGCACTAGACAGCACGGGGTAGCTACACAGGGGAAAGAGATCCTTGGCGCAGGCTTGGTGCTCAACCCCAAACCAAACGATGACGAACTGACACGCCTCTCCTGGTCTGGTCTGAAGTCTGGTACGAGGCCTCGAGGACCTTGCCCAGCACTGTGCCGCGCAGCGCCACCTCCCCCACCTCCGTGTCCTGGCATGCTGCCCAGCACCGATCCCGGCGGCTGCAAGAGATGTTGGGGCAGATTGCCACTAGAGTGCTGCCATGAAGCAATGAAGTCCGTCTTCGGATCGGCTTGTCTGAGGATCCTGGTGGGAAACTCTCCGTGGCCTACCCACACTCTCACCCTTCATAAAGCTCAACAATGTCCACATGAGTTGTCCACGTGGTCAACCAAATCATCCAAGGCTCCAGTCCCCGTCGCTGATGTCCGCAACCGATAGTGCCTTGCAACACAGAGCTTTCTGGCTCAGTGGTGATGGCTTCGGCACAGCTGCATGAACCGCCACTCTTGGCTCGGCGTCGAAAGTGTGACAGGCACACGGCACACGTGTTTGCCGAACGGGTCGAGTTTTGATCTTCGGGATCTGCTCTTTGAGCGTCAAAGATGCTTTGTGGAACCCCGTCACAAGGAAATTTTTTTGACTGGGGCGTAGCTCTGTTATGCTCTGCTCGCCGCTTGTGCGCCCGGCTAGTTTTTAGTCGCATTCGCTGGCTTCTCAAGACCCTCTTGTTCCTCTTTTTTGCTACCGTGTACAACGGATTCTGAGTTGATGCAGGGCATGCAACAACAGATAATAGAGAGGACACCCCAAACCTGTGCTGTGATCCCTTCACAGTTGACGTCAATTTTCATAGAAACATTAAAAGCTCGAAAGGACCACTGGGACAAGAAAAGTTGAAAGTGCAAACCGCTGCGATTCACCTGGAACTTGCATTGCGAGGCCAAGAAGCACCGTCCAGAGCCCTCGAATACTTGGCGAGGTGAAGTGTCTCCTCAGCGGTGGTGCCCTCCTCGCGGCTTTGTGGGCATCTTGACGCAATCATACCAGTGTAGGCCCCAAACAGCGAGAGATCATGTATGAATTACAGCCATTGGAACTCCATGCTCGCCTGCCGGAACCTGCGAATCTTGAATTCGCAATAGCTTGGCACAACGCGCGAAAACCGATGCTTGGGGACTTCATGCAAACGCCTAGGCGAGAGCACGATTTGGTCCAAAATGCGAGCAGGCCTCAGAGCGAGAGCCAATGTTCCGGCATGTTCCGGCGCGACGCATGGTGATGGCAGTTTCTGCATGGGGAATCAAGGAGGAAGGCCCACTTTTTGGGTCCCAGGCCATCTCTGAACACGACCGCTCTGCCGGCGTTTCTCAGACGAATGCAAGTGGCCACAACCACGAGCCCCTACTGCCCCACGAGCACAGAGCCCAGGTGTCCTTGCGATATAGCATGCTGTCGCGGGCAAGGTCGGGAGAGACCGGACAGTAGTTTCCGGCCTTGTACCTTAGTGGCTCGGGATCAGGCGATTGGCCTATGGAGAGATCTGGATTGCAGGTGGCGAGGCTACCTTCTTAGGCACCCTCCCTGATGCTAGAGATTTAAGGCAGTGGGTACGGACGATTGGGAAGGGTTTCGGAAATCTTTGGAAGGCCTGGTCCAGAGAAAGTACCTCTCAAAAACTGGAGTCCCTGTTCTTCGGTGAGCCTCCGAGGGCTCGCTCACAGCTCGGCCTTCGGACCTCTACGCAAATAGGCGCCTGAGTCTCAGGATGGTATGTGCACCTCAACCACTGAACATCCCAAGTCCTTAAGCTTCACCGAAGGCTCCATGCCGCGTCTGCAACCTCCATGCATGCAGACTCGGCTCGGCAATCCGTGACCTCAGCACACGAGGCTGTTGCATGCTTGACCTGGGCCTTTGGCCAAGAAGTCTGGCAAACATAGCAGACATGGCAGGAGCTGGAGGCGGCCCTTTTCTCAGGCATTCTTACAAGAGGGTCCTGGCAACTGACCTCATACACTCTCATACACCCGACACGGGACCCTACAAACACAGAGCTCCTCGCAGTCGACACAGTAAAGACCAAGCCGAAGGGCCTTGGCCCAGGCGGCAGTGGCAGATTCGCCTGCTGCTGCAAGCCTGTGGCGTCCTTGCAGGTGGAGAGCTTTGGAGGTGTTATGGATGCCTTGGGTAGCCTGCTCAGGACCTTTAGGCCTAACTTTTTGGTGCTCACAAATATTCTTCGGCGGTTGTGTCAATAGGGTGCCCCGGCTTTGGCACTAGGCGCATCTTTGAACGTGTTTTTTGGGCCTGGTGCCGTCTCGCATTCAGCATACCTCTCAGTGTTTTACATTTCAGCTTCACTTCAGCCTATTCTAAGTAACCAAATCCGTCAGTAAACGCATTCGGCCCTGGCGTCGTTGGCACTGGTTTGTTGACCAAAGGTAGCCGGCACAGGACGCCGATTCCCGGCAGGCGGCCCGGCAGCTGGCCTGAGGAGGAGTCGAACTATAACGCAAACAGTTAATTTTGATTGTCAGATTTGCTTTATTTCGCTTTGTTTGGTTCTTCGGTTTCGTAAACGAATACGGGGGCGGCACCCTGAGAGAAAACAACAGCGAAACAGCGCAACCGACGGGACGCTTAGCAACAGCAACTATGATTACAACAGCAATCTCAAGAATAGGTCTAGCAGTCAATATTTTTGGTCATAGTAATAGTAAGTAGCAATAGCAACAGCACCATCTGGCTCTTCGTTCAAGCAACAAAAACAGTAGTCGAGAAACACAAGAATATGATGAATGATAGTTATGCAAAGAACCAGTAAATAACAGCTCATATTTTCAATTCGACTCTCACAACTGTTAATGACTTCTTTGCCACCCTGTCAGGCAGACTTGCCACACTACATCGCGCAACACGACGTCAAAAAACATGTGCTTCGACACACTGGGCGTGCAACTTTGGGGAACTTGTTAGATCATGCTAAATCTTCAGGACACCGAGCCACCCAAAGCAACCACCCCAGCTGTAAGCACGAGTCAACATCTGCACTGCTGCATGTTGGGACAGCTGCGATCGACTAGCTAATAAACGCGTTCTTTCAGTGCAAAAGTTGTCGGTCTGGAGTCTCGAAGTGGAGAGGAAAGGCAGCAAGAGGAACGCAATCTCACAATCCAGCCAGGCAGCGGGCTGGTTGCGTTGGTGGGCTTGGACGCCCCTGAGACCCTAACGCCACACAGTTGGGACTCGGCTCGGCATGCAATTTCCGCTAATTTCCTGGCAGCGGGGTATGCGATTTCCGTCAAATTGCACCCCGCATGGAGTTATGTGGGATGCTCATTCTCGATGCAGCGTGTGCGAATTCGACGGATGTGCACCTCTTGCTAAAAATTAGAGAAATGCTTCACGCATCCCGTTCATTGGGTCACAAATTCGGCGGCATGCTGCACTTGCACTTGCCAGGCATGTGGTCTTTCAGAGCGCCAGCTACGGACCTTTGAACACATTGGTTCTTAGTAATTCGTCATTCGTTAATTTAACAATTAGAAGTACAGTAGTAAATCATTGCTAATAACGAGTCTTTAGCAGCAATGAGCAAGTGTTTATTAGCAACAGAAACAGTAGTAACTATAAAGGTAATGGCCATGGAAATTTAAAAAGCGCTCGTACTGATAATGGCAATGACAATAACACAAATGACAGCAACAACAGTAATCATTGAGGTTTTATTTCCAGACCTCCTGCCGATGAGCATGCGGATCGGTGTGGGCGAGGGGAGGGCCTGCAAACCTCCTGAGACACCCTTTAGAGGCAAAAGGGCTGTGGCTTGTGGGCACTGGCCGCTGAAGGCCTTGGCCGTCATGTGACAGCAAGAGGGCTGCATACCATGGCCAACATGCCTCGGCCATGTTTGGAAAAACCCAGTTCTGGGGTCCGCTTCCTTCGGACGGCCCCGGCTCAGTCGTGGCTGCAGTAGCAGTAACAGCAGCAGTCCCCATAGCAGTAAGCAGCTGCCGCCGTAGCTCTCGTAGTTGCCGCCATATATTCCGGCGGTAGTAGTTGCACACTACGTCTTCAACAACTGATACAGCAGACTGTGGCGTGCTGCATAACTATACTACCGTGGTAGCCCTCCAGGAAACGCTAAACCGCAGAGAATCTCGGAAGGTTTGGCCTCTGAGCTCACGTCGTCGATCAGCGTGAAAGCGTTCGCGAAGAACAGCTTGTTGACCTGTTGAAACTCTACGAGGATTCTCTTTGACAACCACAATGCAGCAGATCCGCGAGACCCTGTTCCTTCAGTGGGCAAGCCAAATCAAATCTTTTCCCGACTCAAAATGCTTGGGCCAAGGGAATCCTTTGCGACTGAAAGCCTCGGTCACATGATGAATCGGCAAAAGACGACCCACCGTGTCTCGCACCGGGCACTCCATTTCTGGTATGACTTCTGCATCCAAGCCAGGCCCCGTGCCCAGCAGATGTCGTCCAGAAGTGTCAGGGTCAAAGAAGCCTGCGGACTACTGAGGCCAAACTAGCCAACCCCTGGGGTGGCCCAAACCCCAGATGAAGATCTTCAGCGTTTCAGTATGTTTCCGTTCGGGCCATACCATGACAGCGCCTCACAATACATCCTCATCATCATCACAATCATCATCACCACATTCATGCTTCTCATCGCCAAGGATGATGCGATTTTTGGCAGTGCTTCCAGGGCCGAATGCTCTAGCCGGAAAGCAGGAAAAACTCGACCCCTCGAGCCCAAAAAGCCCAACTGCCAGTTACTCCTCTTGGGTTCGCTACCCCGACCGTCCTTGATCGGATCCAGACCTGCCAGGTCCGGGAAGGCTCCCCAGACCGAGCAAGCCAGCGAGATCCTGTCAGAAGGGCAGGCTGGGTGAGGTGTTTCTGGACCAGTGGCTGCAAGAAAGAGATGGAAAAAGAGCTTCTCCAGTCGTGGTCCTCTTCCTGTCTGCGCCGGTGCTTGGCTGAGAATCGAAGACTGACGAGAGCCTCAGAGCCCAGGACTCTCACGTTTCACATTGCAGCAATCCCTGACAGACAAGCTGGGATTCCAAGCGCCAGGTGCACGGCTCTACACTCTACACGCCTACTCTTGCGTCCTGAGCCTTAGCAAAACGCCTTATCCTGATCCCCTACGTACCTGGATATCTGTAGTTCGGTAGAGTTGCCCACGGGCCGGCAAAACGGAGATCGACCCTTCGGGCGTCACCTGCCATGGATTTTCTTGGGTGAGCTGTTGACCCACGGCCCTCTGCCTCCAGGACGGGGTAGCCCTCCACCAATCCCGTACTCAGCAGATCATCGAAATCGTACTTCAGCGTCGGCGTCGATGAACAGGACACTTTGAAAAACTCAGCTGGACAAGTGCCACGCCGTGCACAAGCTTTGACAGAAGGTCCAAAAAAACAGGATACCACAAAAAAGCCAGAAGGAGAGCCCAAGGCGCAGAAGGCTTCAGGAGCCCTTGCTGCGTGGGTTCTTCCAAGTTCAGGAGCGGGAGCTGCTCTCCGAGAGTCACGGACACCGCTGTCGTCTCAGGTCGCACCAAAAAAGAACGAAAAAAACAAAAGTGTATATATATATATATATATATATGTGTGTGTGTGTGTGTGTGCATATATGCGTATATATATATATGTGTATACAAATCTTAAACGTACATATATATATATATGTATATCTATGCACACCCATTTTTTGTATATAAACCCGAAACAATCATCCCCGACACGAACCCTCCTGGACCTTGTAGGTCAGCGCCGTCCATGGCTGCAAGGCCAAGGCTACAAAGCGAGCCTGTCCGAAATGTTCAGTCGGGAACATGCTTCGCTCGCATGGTATCCGTAGCTGCAAGCAACGGTTTGGCAACGGGCCTGGCGCTCCGTGAACGCCTTGGGAAGAGAGGGCCCACAATCCTACAGAGTACTTTGCCTTATTTCTTCGGGGAGATGGTGGGGGAAGGGGTGGGGATGCTGGGTGGCCATGCAGAACCAAGGCGCATCATGGAAGAGTGCAGAGCTGGGAACTGGGAGTATGATGTGATCGGTATCTGGCCCATAATATGCCAGCTGCAAAAATTGATTGCCACCACCATTGCACATCAGCACCTCCAGGTCGTGGTAACCTGCCTCTAGCCAAATATTTTCCTTCTCTACATCTGCCGCCCCGCACCCTGTCTTCTGGGTCATCAGCTGCCCATCCAGGTAGACTCGTGAGCCTGACAAAGCGGAACATCGATCTACTTCTAACCCGTGGTATCAATAACCATCCCTCATCTCTGCTGCTCCTCACTCGAAAACCCTCAGCCTCCAAGTGGGCCTCTCACGTCACCCCCCGCCCCCCCCCCCGCACCCCCCTGAGATGTAACCTGGGCGTGCAGACCCTCGCCTAATGCGTACAGGCCTACAGGCAACACAGGAATCTCTTTGCTACAGGCGCACAGCTGTAGTCAGACTGCTAGGCTAGATTGCTAGAACATTGAGCAGCAAGCATGGAAACATGCCTTGTGACAAGTGAGACTGTCAAGCACCTGGATGTGTAACATCAGTGTTTCAACCAGGCACAAATTTAAAAACACTTGAAACTGCATGGCCGTGGTATCGGCTTTCAGCTTGCCTTATGCTCAAGAGAATTAGAACTGCGGAGTCATATGAGCTACACTGCGGCTTGGTGAAAAACAAGCTTAGGCTGGATTACTAGAACCTTGAGCAGCAAGCATGGAAACATGCACTGTGACAAGTGAGACTGTCAAGCACCTGGATGTGTAACATCAGTGTTTCACCCCCCCAGCCCGACCCCACCCCCCCCGCCCCCCCCCCGCCCCCCCCCGCCCCCCCACCCCCCCCACCCCCCCTCCCCGCGCCCCCCCCCTCCCTCCTTCCGCTTCCTCCTTCCAGCGAAGGGGCGGTGCTCCGCCATGCATGCATGTGCGACCGTCGATTGCTCTTCCTTCCTTCCCGCAGGCAGAACCCTCCGAAGGGGGTCGCTTTAATGGGCGTGAACCGGAGTGCCTGTCATGGGCTCTCTGTTTTTCTTTCTTTCCTTCTCTAGCTGGGCTTCAGGAGGTTACCCTCCTGGCGCAAGTTGCGCGCCCCGGCATGTTGGTCTCTCTGTCTCTCTCCCCTTCTGGTTGCGAAAAAGCCTTAGAGTCCTTGCTGGGCCAAGCTGCCATCACGTGTTCTGAGATAAAGATTGTAGTATCCGCGCAGCGTTATGTGCAGGTATCCCGCGCACCTGGCAGGCATTGATGCTGCTGTAGCACCAAAAGCGGATGCGATCACCTTGCATAAAGCTCCCACCTGATGCAAAACAGGGTCCCCAGGGGAATGCCGCTGAAGTTGTTGAGAAAATGGATGTCTGGCGCCGTAAAGTTGTCATACCACCAGTAATCACGCAACCTTAAGCAAACCATTTTGCACGCAAGCAGCAACGTTTCATGCCCCGACAATGTTCTGAGGGCGGGTGGCACCTTATAAGGTCTGCATGAGGGTTGGTGAACCTAGAAGCGCGAGCTAACGAATGCGCTGGGACAATAATCCCGGCGAGCATCGCGGAAGCATAGGCATTGGTGACTGAGCATGAGCTGCAGGTGCGGCAGTAGTTGCACATCATCCCCTGCCCAGGGAGTCCAAGTTTACAAATGTGTCTGGCAGTACAAGCCAGCAGCAAAGCCGGGGCAAAGCCCAACGCCCAAAGCCCGAACTAAGTACTAAGCCCTAAGCCACAACAAGCTGCCCCGCGAAAACTCCCCAAGCCCCTGAGCAGCCCCCTATCTTCAAAACACTGAAAAAGTCCTGTTTCAATTTCCAACGCTTTAAGATACTTTTTGACTAAATACTGCCTACAGTACCGACAGATAGAACTGACCGGATACAGGGCCGACGAGCCTGTGCGTATTCAACACGTGGGGCCGCGTGCTGGGCCTTCATGACGCAGATCCCGCCATTCTGCCCGCTAGTGGTGGTGTCCTGAACCCCGGAGGAACTTCCCTTAAACACAATGAGCTTGAGCACTCGACATCTCTGAAGCGAATTGCCTTATTCTTTTGACGAGGAAATTGGGGAAATTAGGGTCCCTTCGAGTTAGTCAATCTGTTGCCTGCTTGTCAAAAAATGGCGCCTCAGTGTCCACGGCCCCGTTGTTGTTGGCATCGGCCGCAGACCGGCTCAGGTCTCCCGTCGCGGTGTCCACCTTTCGAATTTCTTCAGACAATTCAAGCAGATCTAAACTGCTTGTTGTTGAAAGTTTATTCTTTCGAATGCGCGTTTTGAGAAGGCTGTATGAGGCTGTATGGTGGCAGAAGGCCCACCAGTACTCCGATCCTGTTGAAAACTCCGTTTTTCTGGAAGCTCAGAAGACAACTCAAGATCTTTGATGAGTCTAAACGAACGGCTGGAACAGCAAATCAAAACAAATGACAGAACAAAAAATCAGGATCAACTCAAGATCCCCTGTCAAGCAGGACCTGGCAATGGCTATAAGTTTTCTTGCTGCTGTGGCTGCTGGCCAGTCGATCTGTGAAAGTTGCACTGCGACACTGAATAGAGCAAAGAACTTCGAAGCTTCAGAAAAGCAGTACGAAGGAATCAGGTTGGTTTCAAGTTCACAGGTACAAGGGAACGTGCACGATGTCAAGGATGCACTAACCATGAGCTTGGTAATGGTTGACCGGGAGACGAAGTTTGTGCACGGCATTCCCGTGCCGAGTCCAGAACCGCAAAGAAGTCACAAAGTAACTGCCATCGCACACTGGACCTGCAATGCGTCCCGTATGCGATATCTGGCCAGTTCTGCGCCCTTGCTCTACCTTTTTGTGAGGGCGGCTGCGGTTCGAGGCCTGTGCTAGCTCTGGCGGACGCTCCTCTTACTTGGGCTCTCGGTCACCAAGGCATGCTTGGTCAGCAGCCTTCCGATGGACAACGGGTAGCCTTGGATGTGCCCGTCTCAATCACTGGCACCGAACCTTTCAGATTGCAGATGAGGCCGTGCTGGATGACGGTGAGCGCAAGCGCCGATTCCAAGACATGGCCCGCAAGTGCCTGGAGGCTGGATTCCCTTTCGATCCCCTGGTTTTCGAGCAGCAAGGCGGTACCACTGCTGAGGCCTTCAGGGTCCTCCACGCCATTGCTGATGGGGTGGCGCAGGCCGAGGCTCGCGACGCGTTCAGAGTGAGGATCTGTTGGGCAGGATTCGGCGCATTGTGGCCGCGCCTGCCGTGGCGCAGCATCTGTTGACGGCGTCTGTGCCGAAAGTGCCTCCCGAGCCTGCAGTGACGTGAGCGCTGGTTGTACAGACCCCTCCCCCAACCTTGCGGAGTCGGTTTGAGGGTGATGCCACGCCCTGACGTATTGGCTTCATTGCCGGCTGGGGCTTTCGTATGGTGAGCTGTCCTCTTTCCCTGCAGGTCACCCCACTGCGCCCGGCCATGTATCGAGCCGAACAGGCTTCTGTAGGTTTTGCCCGCCCTCTGTTCCATGCCGCCCTCAGAAGTAGTGGAAGGCTTGTACTCGCGTGACATGGCTGTATCAGACTTAAGATGTTAAGAACAAGCAAATGTCGCACTTAACTATCTTGCCGTATGTAGCAGACGATCTCATTTTTGGTGGCTGTGACAGCATCGGGAGGAAGCCGTACTTCTGGGGGGCGAACTCTATGAGTCCAACGAACCAACACTGAGTGAGAAACATGCTCTCCGATATCCCAGTGCCCAGCCTGCAGCCAGTTCACCGTGGGCGCACACATGATGCTGAAGTCTTTCCACAGGCCAGGTGCCTGTGCATGCTTGAAGCTAACACCGAGCCTCGGCCTGAAGCCACTTGCTTGCACTGCCTCAGTGCAAGCGGACGCTGTGGGGGTAGCTGTATAAGAATGTGTAGGCACGCATGCATATAAATCAATAAAAATGATTACAAATAACATATATATATATCCAAAACCTTAACCACCTCTCGAAAAGCTCGACCGGTGCCTTCTGTGCCGCTTTCGTGGCTGAACCTTTCAGGGAAAGCTGTGGCTTGGACATGGGCTGGCAACTTCGCTGACAGCTGTTCTTCCTCTGTCCTCCAAGTTCTTCCTGCTCCTCTCTAGTTCGGCCTGAAAAGAAGAGCACCGGTGCTCCGTAGCTCAAGTAATCCATGCCAATTCGTAAGGTCGTGTCATAGCTCACTCCCAATGCCTCGCGGCATGCGGCAGCTGGCGGGTATGTTTCTGTTGCTGTTGGTTTGCGTAGACTATCGAGCCTGATGCGCGGTCACGGCACACTCGATGCTGAAAGGGCCAGTGTCTGGACGTGCCGCTGACGCTGTGACGACACCTGTGGTCCCGCTCATCGTTATGCCCTGGTCAGGTAGCTCACAGTCCTCGTGGAGGGAATAGCGTGATGCCGTCCGAGCAGATGGCGCCACATGCACTTCGCTGCCAATGGCAAGATGCACCGAAGGGTATACAAAGGGTGTGGGGCTGACAATGCCGCCACCACAAGTGCAGCATGCCTCTCATGGATTCGTGTCACATGCAACAACATCACAAGGACGAACTCACCTCAAGAGCACACCACACCGCACCAGCACACCTCTGAGACAGCAAGCCAGGCCTCATTGCTGCTCTTCCCACGGGACTTCACATCATTGCAGTCGCCAGAGACCAGCTGCGCGCAGGTCTTGCCATCCACATTCAGCCAGCCAGCAGAGTCAGCACAGGAGATGCACTTCCCGTCGCGTTTGAGGAAGCCGCCAGCACATTCCAGACATGACTGGCCGTCTGCTGCGGCTTTGGCGCAGCCTGCGCAGTGCAAGCCGCTCTCTGCACAGCAGGAGGTTGTGAAGTCGGTTGCCCCGTAGTTGGTCAGCAGGATCTGGCTCAATGAGCAGCTGCGCAGCGCCCCGGTGATCCTGGTGTGGGTCAGGTTCTCGCTGTGATGCCCTCGCTTGGACTCATCCTTGTGCGCCACCTGGTTCGCCGCCAGCTTCGTCGAAGACCTGCGGCAAACTGTGAGGGGGTTTTTGCTGTACGCATGACGCCGCCGACCTGCTCGCACATTCTAGGGAGCATTGCTTTGGAGTTGGGGTCGGACAGTCTGTGAATGAGCGAGCCGGGGCGTGCCTCACACGGCAGCCCTGAAAAAAGGCATTGTTTCTTCGCATGCCAGGAGTCGACACATTTGGCATCGGCGCCTCAGTCAGATGTCGGGAACAACACACATGTCAACAAACGGGATATGACGGGATGCTTCCGTGATGCTGAGTGATTGAAACGAAAAACAAAAGGAAACAGGGCAGGGGTCGAAACCGGAGTCGGCTCGGCACCATTATGCTCCCGTGGCATTCTGTCTAAACAACTATAAGTCGCACTCCCGGCTTGGTCCCTTGTGTGCTCTTTGGTGCAGATCGTGCCCAGCTCGTCTTCTTACGTTCGGGGGCACAGTTCTGATGACCCCGGGGATGAAACCTCGGTGCTTTCGCATCGCAAGTTTGGGGAGTCTTCGAGCTTTTTCAGCACAGGAAACAATCTTTCAGGCTGAAACTTTCAGGTCACTTGTAAGGACACTTGAATTGTGTTGTAGGGTTGGACATCTTGCGCGAAAAGAAGGCTAAGGTGTTCTGAGTGTTTTTGATTTTTGGGGGGCCGTGTGCACGGATTTGTCAAGCGACTAGTTGGGGTGCTGTGTGGGAACAAGGCGCTTGGACATGAGACTTTCCGCACAAGGACAAAGGTCCAGAGAAACAGTCAGGAACAAGGCGGACAAAGTCAACCAAGGCGAAAAACACAGATGAGACCATTTCCAACCTCAGGAAAGATGGGAAGCCAACAATGCGTCGAACAGTTCGCGCGGGCCGCTTCTCACTTTTCCAGGTGCACACCAGCTCGCAACAGAGCACCATGGCGTGAAATGAAACGTGCTTCGTCTGGAGAACCCGCTTCAAAAAATTTGCCACACAGGAGGCTTTCGCAATGAAGGTTATGGAGTGGAGGTTGCAATTGGCTTCCGCTTTTTACAGACATGTCTTCCACATAGAATCTAAATTATTGAGGTGTGCGAATGCGCACTTTGGCCCCTGGAAGCCACTGAAGCCAAGCTCTGAAGTCTGAAAGAAGGGCTCCTGAGGGCTGGCTCCATCTCGAGCATCCATCTGCGTCTCCAAGCCATCCATCTTTTTGTCCAGGCTATCCATCTTCTCCTCGAGCCGTGCCTTGGGTTGCGTCCCGCTTCTGCATTGCCCTGCACTAAGGATACCAGGACCCCAATTCTCCAAGGCACTAGCAGCTTCATAATGTCGGGATTCTGGCGCTGAAGCAGGTCGACGGTGTCGTTGCCACATTCATCCTTGATGGCGTTCGCTTGCACGAAGCCCCTGAGATGGAAGGACTCGGAGGAGAGGACTTGGACTTTTTGGAGATTTTCAGGCGTTGGCTGGTCGGCAGGTTGACGACATCTTTCATTGTTTTTGTGCGGCTCGACCTTGCTACCGAAATCGGAGGAAGCACTGGAGCGACTGGGGCAGGCCCAGAAGCTCAGGTCAGAAAAGCGCTAGCCTAAAGCCGGGGCACAATAGACACGCCAGAGAAACCAGCGTCCGCAGCACCGAGAGTGCCGAGAGGCACATCGGGTTTCCCAAGTCGCGTGCACGATGGGGGCGCTTTTGACAGGCGGAAGAGTACTTGAGGAAAAGAGTATCAAGTAAGCCAAACAGCTGCAGCACGGGACCTAAGAGAAACTGAGCCGTGCGAGTCCCTAGGCCACTGGCATGTCAAGGCCGGAAGCGCGAATAAACCCTTTGCTTTTTGTCTTTGCTTCAGTCCTGCAAGTCGGCCGGAGCACGTGTACTTAGTACACATTGCTTCCCCTGCAGGTGCCATGTGCCATTGCTCTATGACTCTATGACTCTACGACTCTATGACTCCAATGCACACGAATCCTACACACTGCTTGCAGGAAGGGTTGCGATCCTCAATTGCAAGTAGAAGTGTAGCTATGGCATCAGCAGCCACGACGAGTGGCCGGTAAAACTCATGCCGCTCTGGCAGGTTTCTGTGCGCTCGGCCAGAAAGCATAACAATGCTTTTGTCTACAGTAGAGATCTGAGATGTATGGTCACGTGTGTGCGTGCTGCATGTGTGCTGCTCCATGACACAACTGTCTGTCGGACACATCCGCTGCTGAGCTCACGAGGTGTCAAAAGCGAGGCACGCGACACCAAAACTGTTATAAACAATTGTCTGAACAGATTCGCCTGGCGACGCTGACAAACTTCACTCAGACTTTTCTCTGGTTTTACACAACATGAGAAGTCTTTCTCCTGCCTATCATCCTTGAATCCTTGGGCAGCAGATTACAGCAGAGCTTGCTGGGATTTCACACTGCATTTCACCGCTGGATGACCAGGACATCCTGGGCAATGTAGGGCGAGAAGACCGCCATTCCCGATGAGGCATCGGTCGCGCCGGAGAAGAAGGACTGCCGGCCTTTGAGAACACGGGGACCCAGGCTGCCATCCGTCTGCGTGGAGTTGTCACGTGTGTCTAGGGTCAGGAGGACACCGCCATCTCCAGGCGCAAAGTAGACGAGGGGTCCCAGGGCCGCGGCTGCGTAGAATGCGTAGCTGGTGCCAGGCGAGGTCGTGAAGAGGTCCACGGCTACCAAGTCGAAGACCCCAGTGTCCACATCGTAGATGCCAATGCCATTCTCCGCCCACGGGGCACAGAAAACCTTCCGGCCGACTGCGGCAGCACCATGGAAGCCGCGGTCGGCATAGGTCACTTTTGCACTGACGTCCACCACCTCGAAGGTGTCGGGTCCTGGCTCGAAAGTCACGAGGTTCTTCCCCCGGAATGGACAGAACACGGCCTTGTTCCCTACCACGACCGCATCTGTCAGCGTCCCCCCGGGTGCCAAGCCACCCGCCGGCGCAGCCTGCCTGTAGCTGGAAGTGCTCACGTCGAAGATGCCCACCGCCCGGCTGTTGCCCGGTGTGAAAACGACCACGTTGCCCACTGCCACCGCGCCGTTGAACAGCTCCCGCGTGTCGGCAACGGACACGTTGCTGGAGATGTCGATGCGGGTAAAGGCGTAGGGCGGCACTGCGTCAAAGATCCCAACGACTGCTTTAGCCGGGTTTGGGGCCTCGAAGTGCTTGGCCGGCGCAAAGACCACCTTGTTGCCCACCGCTGCTGCGCCTCGCCAGCCGTTTGCCGGTAAGGGGCTCGGAGTGTCCAAGCTGCAATCTGTGAGGTTGAAGGTCTCCCACTGTCTTGTCGCGAGGTCCAGGATCCCAACCCGCGTGTTGTCGTAGCTCGGGTCGCAAAGCCATGCGTAGTTCGCACCGGGGGCGAACACCGCCTTCCCATTGGCTGTCACGGCCACACCTTCGTATCCGGCTCGAACCTTGTCGGTCGCCTCCACTGCGCTGACGACTGGCAAAGGTGGTGTGGTGCTGCTGGAGGTTGTGGTGGCGGTGGTGGTGGTGGTGGCGGTGGTGGTGGCGGTGGTGGTGCCGGTGCTGGTGCTGGTGGTGGCGGTGGTGGTCGTAGCGACGGCCTCAATGGTGATGGTCGCCTGCCTGCTCACTCGGTAGTCATTCACGAGGGGCGCATCCACAATGAGAGTTCGTGCGACATTGCCTGCATCCTGCTGCAACGTGATGTTGACAACAATTTTGAACTCACTGGCGTGTGTATCCCAAATCTGGATCTTGTTCCCTACGCTGAACCAGCTTACACTGCCCACAGCCAGGTGCGTGGAACCTTTGGCGAAGAGGATGTCGTCTCCAGTTGTGGTTGTCGTGGATGTCGTGCTGCTCGTGGCGACCTGTTGCACGGCTGTCTACTAATTCAGGAGAACCACCGTGCCATCGCACCCGATCCCACAGAATCTCACGAAATCCCACATCAAGTCCCGGCCTCGTAGGACATGAACGTGTAGGAACTTTGTCTGAACTGTGCCAAGAACATTCGACCCTCAAAAGGATCCCACACGGCCGTGTCGTCCGACGCTTGGGCGGGCTGCAGAGCCGATGAGTTGGAAGACCACCAGCCATCGGCTGCATCAGGAGCCCAATGCCATGTCGCTGTTGACGTTGAGCCTGGAACCAAACCACCCAAAGCCTCGGCAAAGTGCGGCTTTCTCCTTCAACTTGGGGCAGAGGCCATAGCTCAAACCCAAACCCCCCAATTCCCCCTACCCCCCGCCCCCTCACCCGCCCCACCTTCCCCGCCCCACCCACGTCCAAACCCAGTTGTCCTTGCTTGTTTTACCACTCCCACATTTGGGGCGTGCTACAACAGGGTCCCAAAGGCGAAGCCTCTCAAAGCGCGGAAGCCTAACGGAACCGGACAGGCCCCGGCCGAGGTCGCGTAGCGTTGAAATTAAGCGCACTCCTGAATTATAGGAACATGATATATCATGCAGGAGTTGCGCAGAGACAGTCGTGCGCATGTAACATCAACGAAAACCGAAGGCAAGGGGAAGGGAACGTGGAAGAGTTGTATGCCTCAGCACGGTTTGCCTCCGTCGGCGTCGGGAGCAACCAAATGTGGGCGTGCCCAAGCCCTCCCCAACTTGATGGCATGGAGCGATCATCGCGCCACCAGTCCAAACAGCAACGCCGAGGGATTGTTCTGGAGGAAGGACGCCTGCGGGTGCCTGGCAGAGGCTGAGGAAGCAAAGGCGTGTACAGACATTCCACATGGGTACCTTCATACCCGCTCAGCCAATGCTTAATGCTGTTCGTTGCACTTTCGACCAGTTCATGGTCGACTGACAAGTCACAGCAGTGATCGTGTTGCTTTCTCTCTGTGTGAACAGGTCACAGTCGTATCTCAAGAGTCAGTACATAATGCAGCTGCGCAAAAAGTTGTTGCAGCCTCTCATGTCTGTGAGAACTTTATTGCTTCCAGGGTGCAAGATGGTGCCATGCATCTTGGTCTGGGGTATAGGAGAAGAGCTCATTGACATAGCCAGCCGAGCCCGCCCAGCCGCCGAAAACCTGCGGGTTGAGGGGGGCGAGAACCACAGCAAGGCCTGAGAAAGGAACAACAAAAGAACTCCCAGTGTCATCCTGAGCTCGCCACGAGCATCTTCGCCAGCTCCGCTGCCCAGACCGCCGAGTGGCCGCCGCGAGGCATGGGGGGGTTTGTTGGAGATCGCAGCGTCCAGGTCTTGGAGCCCAGGCTCAGGATATGGAGCTCGTTGGTGAGGGCCAACATGTCATCGTTCCCACCAAACACGATCATCACCTCACCATCGGCCGCCGTTTGGCCTGCCACTGCTGAGTGCTGATAGCGGGGCCCTGGGCGCGTGCCGGAAGTTGGGGTCGCGGACCACTCGAACAAGGCGGTCTCGGTCTCTCCGGTCTTCAGCAGCCAGAGGTCATTTGGGGCAAAGCCTGCTTGCTTGTTGACGAGTCCTGGCAGCAGCTTATGCCCCAAATTGACACCCTCCCCCTCCCCCGCCCCCCCTCTCTTTAAACAAAGAGCCACAAATTGCACGGGCGGATGCCTCCAAAAACGAGGAAGCCAGAGTCCGGCTCCGACCAAACCATGGTGTGCCACCCCCTGGGGCCTCCCAGTCCGAGCGTGCTTGAGGCTGGAAATAGGCTGGAACTATGGCTTCAGTGCAGCTTCTGACTGTTATGTCACGAAACGCGGCTCTGCTTCCTACTGCCATCATGAGCCGATGAGTGTCCGTGCGTGGACAAAGCCCCGACCAACAAACCTGCCTGGCCCAGCCACGGCCGGCGTGACGTCGGTCCAGAAGTAGGGGGGATAAAGCTGCCACACAGCCTCCGTGGCAGCACCTGTTAATTCGTGGGTGGGTGGGGGGGGGGGGGGGCGGCTCGAAAGAAGTTTCCAGCTGTTGATACATTGGTGATACTGCTAGAGTTCGTGGCAGCTTTGTGCGTTCCTGGAGGCTTGAAGTCTTACACCGTTGCAGTGCTGCCCAGGCTCCCATCTTACATGTACTGCTCTTCTGCTTGTCAGCTTGTGAATCGTATTTGCTACTGTAAGAGTCAGCATGGCGGCCTGTTTCGGCGGCGTTCGCATAATTGGCACCGTAGAGGATGCTCGGCAAGTAGGAGCGCTTGTCGCTGCGGGCGAACGCAAAGCGGTCCGTGGAGCTCGGCAAAGCCCTGACATTCTCCGTCAGGTCGATCCAACCAACCTCTTGGGCGTCTATATCATGTTTTGCTGCTACACGTCGCTGTTCCTCGCAGCCCCTCTCACTCCAAATGACAAAAAAAGCAGTCTTTTGGCACGCTGTGAACTTGAAAACATGTGTAATTACAGCACAACCAATCACGGGAAATAAGCCTGCCGAGACACGGGGCCCGGCAGCGGTGCTCCGGCAACGAAGCTTGATAGGTGGTAGACTTTGCATCGGATTGCTCCAGCCGTGCTCGAGATCGTCAGAAGATCCACTCTGGACCACGCCTTCTTTTTCTTGTCCCAGAACCAACACACTTTTTTCAGCTCGGGTTTCTTGGCTTTCGACACATGTGACAGAGCTGTGAGGATCTCCCCTTGCCCGGCGCCCTCTATCAAACTGACGTTCTCATCGGAAACTGGCAGGGTGAACTCGATGGGTTCGGACAGGTTCCCGACCTCGATCGGGTTGCCATTCGCGTCCCGGAAGGTGAGCACGACGATATCGGATCCAGCATCAAGCAAAACGCCCGAGTCACTGAGATTTGATGCGTTGGCTGTGTTGGCTGTGTCGACTGTGCTTGTCGTCAAAATCACTTGGCCCGTCCCAGCATTGGCCGCAATCTGCTGCAAGACGCTGCCTGGGATCGACACAGTGCCAGAGCCGCCGGCACCCTCGATCTCGAAGGTGCCATTCTCCGCGACGGCACTGGGGTCAACCAGGGTCATGCGCAGCTGCCCCGAAGAGTTCGACGCGTTGACTTCGATTGTGGCGAGGACACCCGAGGAACCGTTCTGGCCGGAGGAGGAGCCGTTGGCACCAGCAAACAATGCTGACAAACTGGCTTGCACGAGCTCAGTACCTGACTGCTCGACCGCACTGATCTGATCGGCGATGGCGTCTGCCGCCGTTGGGACCCCAGTTGTTGTGGTGGTCGTCGCCATGAGGGTTGTTGTGGTTACCGGTGAGGCTGTTGTCATCACCGGCGATGCCGTCGACGTCGTGACGGAAGTCTCCTGCACCATTGGATCGAGAACGAAGTCTTCGTTTTTGACTGCATTAACAACAGACTCCGAAGAACAAAAAGCCACACCGGAAGTTACCTTCATTCGTATGGCCTGCAGCCTACCGCCCCCTAGCCATTGCACAGTCGCCAAGGCATTCCTTGAGCGTATACAGTCAATTCCTAGGACCAAGACGTGGCATGTGAGGATGGCCATTTGGGAGCGCGCATTCGACACCCAAACGCCACACCTGACGGTATGGTGGTGATGGCCCATAAGATTGAGGCCCCGAGCGACGCCGCCAGCGCCTAAATGCATAGCGCCCGACCTTAGTAACTCAGCCAGAGTCTTACGTACACAATAGTAAAGTTCGTCGGGTGTAACATGCGTACATGAAGGGACAAGAAACTAGAACATGAACTTCTAGTTGCAAGCACGGCACGCTGGACCCGCCGACCTCAGGGGTGTGGCTGCCTGCGTGCTTGCCAGGCACTGGATGAAGCTCCTGCGCCGAGAGTTGCCATAAGAAAAGGCCCCACCGCATTCAACAAGTTGCTTTTTACACTTTGCTCAATGAATGTTGTGTCCGTACGAACATAAGGAATTGAATCAACACCAAAGTGCAGAAAGCAACGGCCTCTTCGTACCGACGGGCCACTGTGGCTTGTATCAGCACGGCGTCGTCTGTGACGTTCTTGCCCAAGCAATCGGCTGTGGCTTCGTCACACGCTCCGAGGTTTTCCATCCAAGGTTGGCTTCCTTCGGCCAGCCGGACCAGCATCAACATCAGCATAAGCATACTATGTGACATCTGTACAGAAAATGGATCTACACTATCACTAAGCGCGCAAGCTCGAGCCTACACCTGCACCACGAGTGTCCATTCTCCTCAAGCTGCCCACGCTATGCAGTTAGGGTCTTGGAAAGCTCACAGCACATTCATTCCCCGCACACTCCCGAATCCAAACCCTCCTTAATTTGTGTGACATGCGCGCACCTTCCAACCACAGGGAACTATGGTATTGACATACTTTTTGAAAATCAAAATTCCGTCGTAGTGGACCCCCCTGTGTGGGACTCCCCTGGAACCGCCCTGGAACCCGTCTGGGACTCCCTGGGACCCCCCTCGCATGCCCTGAAACCCCCTGAGAACCGCCTGGGACCGCCCTGGCCTCGAAATGGTCTCCGACGTCATCTCACATACTGCCGGCCGAGGCGGCGCGCAAACGTTGCAACTATATCCGCCGACCCCAGCCGGGGGCGGCGTCAGTGAAGACCCACTGCCCCTTAGTACCGCCTTCACCCCCCAGACCTCCAGTGCATGCCTTGCATTGTTTTAAGGGCTCTAGTGCATGCCCAAACTCTCGCTCCCTCCGCCCGCTCCGCCCTGATGGTCCGGCTCCTCCGTGGCTCCATTGCCCTACGACCCCATCTAAGCTGAGTTTTCCTTAACCGCCCGCTCCCCTCGCTGCCCCCGCTGCTCCGCTCTCATGGTCGGGCTCCGCCATGGCCCCATGCCTCTTGGCTCTACGGCCCCATGGTCCCATGCCCTTGGCTCAGTTTGGCGCCTCTCTACTCCACGCCCGCTTGCCCATGGCCTTATTGGCCCCATGCCCCCGTGGCCTCCTTGCTTCGCCCACGGCCCATGGTCCCATTGGCCCGGGGCTCCAGTGCATGTCACTCCCCCCCACTGACAAGCCCGCTCCCCTTATGCATGGTCGGGCTCCGCCATGGCCCCATGCCGGCCCCACGGCCCAGTGCACGCCCACTTGCCCTGCTCCCCTCCCTCCCCTCTCTGCCCAGGCTGCCTCCGAAAGCTTCGCCCTCATGGTCCGCCTACTCCATGGCCAAATGCTTCTACGGCCTTGCTCCGCTCCCCTCACCCCCTCACTCGCCCCAGGTCCCGCGCCCTAGAATTCCATGGCCTCATGGCTCCATGGCTGGCCCCCTGCCCCCGCTCTCATGGTCGGGCTCCGCCATGGCCCATATGCGCTTGGCTTTGTTTTGCGGCAGCTCCCGCCCGCTCCCCCATACTCCACGCCCACTTGCCCCCGGCCCTCATACATGGCCCCAGGCCCTCACGCCCATGGCGCCTCTGTCTTGATCTAAAAATTATACTGTATTTTCCCACTGGTACATTTCACAGAATGTAGGATATACATCGTGAATATCGGGGTTTGTCACAGCTGTTCCGGCACGATGGCCGAGAGATACCAAGAGACAGGGGCCACGCCCACGACACTTGCTGCGATGCACAACGGCATGTCACGCGCCAGTCCCTAGATCCCCAGGGAGGGCGGGCGGATGAATGCAACTACAGCTCTGATTGTATACTACGATGATGTGTATTTCCACTCGAAGGCGACACACACATGACCAAGCTGCATGCCCGATGAGCCCAGACTAGCGCGGAGTCACTTCGTAAAGACATGTCCGGCTCCCACGCAAAGACAGGAAAACACAAACCGTGCTAGTCCACAAAATCGCCCATAAAACATTCCCATTTTGCACCCACACCCTCACACACACTTCCAGCATAATTTTCTTTTTCAAGACAGGACCATCACGTTCCGTGAAGAAGTCCGTCTTGATCTAAAAATTATACTGTATTTTCCCACTGGTACATTTCACAGAATGTAGGATATACATCGTGAATATCTGTCAAATAGCAGCACAGCCTTATTCAATAATCCAGCTCTCTTTTCCTTTGCGGTCGCACTCGCGGCGAATGGGGTTTGTCACAGCTGTTCCGGCACGACGGCCGAGAGATACCAAGAGACAGGGGCCACGCCCACGACACTTGCTGCGATGCACAACGGCATGTCACGTGCCAGTCCCTAGATCCCCTCTTTTCCAACAGACTGCCCCATGGTGCCCAGGAACGAGTGCGACGAAAGGAGCGCCTCTACCACCCAGTCATCCACGACCAAGCGCCATTCCAAAGAGGCCCCGAGATCCCTTGCTGTCTCAGCTGCCTGGTGCCGCGATGGGCCGTCTGAGGGATTGCTTTTTGAGGCAAGTGAACCAAGGAGTGATATCAAGCGCCCGCAACAGACTTGCAATGATTGCAAGCATGGCAAAGGAGTGTGGCACATGAGTGGACCCCGTGATTATCTATGAAAAAGATGACTTTGCAGCCAGCCAGCCTTGCGCCCCACCGCTGTAGGACCGCCAGGATTGGGAAAAGTTCGTACTGGGACACTAGCTGAGACCTCCCTTGCTCCCTCCAGAGGTGGGTCAAGTCCTGAGGTACGATCACCTCCGCACAGACCCCTTGTCACTAGGTCCAAGGAAGAGCACTGCTCCTGAACCCCCATCCTGGCCTTCCCATGAACCGTCAGTGAAGACCCTAGCCGGCGGCCGGTCATCCACTGCTTTCACAAGCCTCGGCACCTCACACTCAAGGCAAGCAGCAACGTAGGCCAAAGACAACGCCACGTCGATGCACATGTCCTCCCTCCAGCCTTCCACTGAGACCCTCGACAAGAAGGCCATCGCCGGCTTGAAGGAGCAGCCATGCAGTTGACCCTGTGCAAAGTTGAGGCGGCCGTGCAGCGCTGAAGCCTCACACGAAAGCGGACTGCGTCGCTAGCCAGGTTAGGCTCTTCGGAACCGAAGTTCCGGAAGGTATTAACTATGCACAGAAAAGGAAAACTCTCGAGGTGTCCTTGGCCTGATTAACACGGCCGAACTATGTGCAGGGAACACCGAGAGAAAGCATTGAGGGCTTAACCAGTTCCGCGAGAAGCTCGGCGGCCTACGGCTACTCACTGGTTTGGCACTATACAAAGCCCTAGGCAAATGTTCAGCAGGTTGAACTGCCTGGTCTGTACTGCCTACCCTATAAGCCCTGCCTGTACAGGGGAGAAACTCACCCACATTCGGCTCACTCAGAAAAGGCAGAAGGTCCGGAACCGACACATGGGCACTGCCTGTACAACTGCAGACAAGTGGATTGGCAAAAGTCGCCAACCTCCGGAGCAGGCCTAAGCTTTCTCGCACTTACTAACCTAGGCCCCAGAAACTCATGCCGCAGCAGCACTGAGCTCCTGTTTGCCCCGTATGCTGACCTGGTTTTCTCGCACTTACCCGCGCGCTGAAGCCTCACACCTCCTAATGAACCCCTGCTCCAAGAATCTGCTGACCTCCGCCTTCAAAGCATCAGATCTGTCTGGCTTATTACGCACCTCAACCAACCCTTGATCTGCCCTACCAAGGTTAACCCGAACCCCCAGCATGTCAAACACGCGAGAGTAAGGAGCATTCTTCTTGGGCTGCAAAGCCACCCTCCATCCAAGCACCTCAAGCAGACCCACAAGAAAGGCTTCCGATGATCCCGCTGTAAGGCTTGGCTCCACACAAGGGAAATCATCAAAGTAGACGGTGCAGCAAATGGCGCCCAGGGTGACTGCCAAGTGATGAAGGGAAGCAGAGCATCGATTGAATGAGAAGACCGAGGCAGTAGCCCCGAACATGAGGGCCGTGCCCACAAAGTAAGCAGGCCTCTCCCTGATGGGGTCCCAGGCCACGAGCACACGATTGAAGGCGGTTTCTGTCGGCAACCAAGCTGTTTCTACGCAGATGCCAAGTCAAGTGTTTTCCACGCAATCCTAGACCTTCACCCCAACCAGGATGGCGGACCACCTCAAGGACTCTACTCGAAGATAGCTTGACCTGGGCTCAGCAAACAGCGCAGCAGCTGCAGAGTCAGTGTGTGTGGAGGCGCAAGGCCACTGTGGCGCGCTGCAGCCCGACTGGCAACGGTCACTCCGACCATGAACTTTGGAAGCAAACCCTTAAAGAAGTCGAGCAATGCTGGATCGCTGGCCCCTTCCAAGATGAGTTCTCTGTCAGTGAGCACTTGGGAACTAGCGAGTGGTTTTGCACTCGGAGATTCCCAATACTTCGGAGAGAAAAGGTTCGCATCATCGATGATTGCCTCCAGTCCGGTCTCAATTCCGCCTCAACATGCTGCGGCTCATGGAAGCAGATCACTTCATCTCCTTGGTGCGATTGTTGATCCGTCCAGCCGCGACTCCCGGATCCGGCTTGACCTTTTGGAAACGCCCCCGGACGGCGTTGCTGGGCCTACAAGCTCGAACACCCCTGTCTAACTTCCCCGATGAGGCCCGGATCTGGAAACTGGGTTTCAGTCAAATAAAAGGACCCTAGCCAAATCTGAATGTACGTGCATGAAGCTCATTCTCCTTGGGCTC